AAATTCTTTCTATATATAAAATTTTCCATCATCTTATAAATAATTTTCATTACACAAATTAAATGTGAAAATACTCACAAATTTAAAATATCTAGTAATAAATTAATATCGTTTTTAGACATAACAAAAAGAAGTATAATAAAACTATCTTTAGTAATGTTATGGATAACACAATAATAAATTATCTATACATAAATTCTTTGCGAATTAAATTTTTTCATAATTACATATATATTAACAAATATAATTATTTTTAAGGTTAATAAAGACTTTATATCAAATATAAAAAATTAGATAAGGATAATTATCAAATTCATGAAATTCGTTTTTAATTAGAATTAATTATATATTAACAACTATAATTATTTTTCAAGGTTGATAAAGAATTTCTAAAATAAAATAATTTTTTAAATAAGGATAATTATCAAATAAATGAAATTCATTTTTAATTTATAACTAATTATATATTAACAAATATAATTATTTTTCAAGGTTAATAAAGACCTTATAACCAATATAAAATAGTTTTAGATAAAGATAAATCTAAAATCATTGAAATTCGTTTTTGCGAATTCAATTTTTTCATAATTAAATATATATTAACAAATATAATTATTTTTTAAGGTTAATAAAGACTTTATATCACAATAAAAAAAATTAGATAAGGATAATTATCAAATTCATGAAATTCATTTTTAATTAGAATTAATTATATATTAACAACTATAATTATTTTTCAAGGTTGATAAAGACTTTATAAAATAATATAATTTTTTTTTAAATAAGGATAATTGAAATTCGTTTTTAATTTATAACTAAATATATATTAACAAATATAAAATAGTTTTAGATAAAGATAATTCTAAAATCATTGAAATTCGTTCTTTACTTATGTTTAGTTATATATTGAAAATTTTAATTATTCATTAAGGGTATAAATGATATTAACCGCTCTAACTTTTAACGTGAGAGTTCCGTTGCGAAAAATCACTTCATATATTAACAAATATAATTATTTTTAAGGTTAATAAAGACTTTATATCACAATATAAAAAATTAGATAAGGATAATTATCAAATTCATGAAATTCATTTTTAATTAGAATTAATTATATATTAACAATTATAATTATTTTCAAGGTTGATAAAGACTTTATAAAATAATATAATTTTTTTTAAATAAGGATAATTATCAAATAAATGAAATTCGTTTTTAATTTATAACTAATTATATATTAACAAATATAAAATAGTTTTAGATAAAGATAAATCTAAAATCATTGAAATTCGTTTTTACTTATGTTTAGTTATATATTGAAAATTTTAGTTATTCATTAAGGGTATAAACGATATTAACCGCTATAACTTTAAACGTGAGAGTTCCGTTGCGAAAAATCACTTCGCAAATAATAGTATAGATTCATATTCTTTGTTTCAGGTTGATATTAATAAATTTAATATTATTAAAAATGGAGAATGAAATAAATAAGACTTACTTTATGAGATCATGAGGATTGTGATTAGCATGAATTATTATCCTCGATATTCGTAATATGATTTCTGAAATTCAAGATGGTGATAAAGTGAAACAACCGCAAATTGAAATCTGATGTAGAGGAAGCTACATAGATAGAATTACAAACCTGTTGATTTTAACTTAAAATTAGGATTTGTGAATTACAAATTGAAATATTATTTTTTTAATATTTGTAATGTAATATACCTTTAAATAATATACATACCAGAAATGACATATGAAGTGCTGTAGCCCAGCGGTGATATAGTGTGCCACTAAACTGGATTTTTATTGAGTTCTGTATTAAGATATATTTCCATATATCTCGATTAGACTTAATCGAGATATATGGAAATATATCTTAATATAGAACTCAATAAAATCCAGTTTACCAGGTCATGGATTTATATTTTACCATACAACTTTGTGTATTGCTTTTTCCTCATAGGCATTATCTCTCATTCTTCTGATCGAGAGAATCATGTTGTACATTTGCTTACTACTGAGACAGGTTGTTGACGTAAAGGGTGGAGTAGGATGGGGTAGTATAGGGACTTTACTCGACCGCGTTGTGTTTCACTCTTTTCCCAATGCTGTGGACCACTGTAGGAGATATATCTTATAGAAACATTGAATTCGATCAAACTTTATATCCGAGATGTCGGTGACCATTGTTTGCCAATAATCAATGGAGAAAGTTGACTTGAGGATTATTATGACATTTAAACTAGATCATGTGACCCATTATCTAAACCTTACCATGGGTCCTTTCAGCCCGTGTGTCCATGCAATGAACCACACTATTGCTGGAGTTATGTTCCCAACTACAACAGTGGTCACTGGTACTAATTCTCACTCTATTAGCCCTTATGTGTAGTTGTCTAATATATGTGGGTCTCCAATTTTTAAACGGCTCTACTTAAAAGAATAGCGGGTCTACAAATTCTGTTTTTATTCAAGAACGTGTATATAATATTTTTTTGAGGAAATAACAAATACTAGAAAATTGTAGCAAGGAGGAACTGCATTAATTTTTTTTTATATAACTAAGGTAGGCCCGCCCTACGGTCTGATTAACAAATAATATAAACTACTTAAAATATTTAATTTATTCTAATATTAAATTAAATTAATATTTATGTTTTATTAAAACAATTCATCTATTTATTAACTATTTATTTTTAAAAACGTAAACTTATTAATTATTAAAAGATTTTTTAAGAAATTATTACTTTGCTTTTTAATGTTTCTAAATTTAACTATTCTAATAGTTAAAAATAACAATTTTTAAAAATTGCTCGATAAGTTTAGTGCAGTTATACGTAATAACTAATAAGTAGTGTGAATTTTAGATTACATAAAAAAATAAAAGTGAGCATTACTATCTAAAATTGTACATTTTTGTTTGAGTCTTAAATATATTATTTTGATGATTAAAATTAAAATAATTATGTAATCTAAGTAACCCATGATTAGAGGTTTAAAAATAAATGGTACTTGGAAATTAGCATAGTATAATTCTTACACTATATTCTATATATAATATTTTTATTACATATTGTGATTTCATTTAAAATAAATTATTTATATTTAACATGCTAAAGTGTTTTATAATAATTTTGGATTATATAATATTTCTTTATCAGATTTATTATTTTAAGTAAGAAGTTAGTAAATATATTAGTATATGTAAATTTATTTACTATATTACTTTAATATTTTTTTAAATATATGATCTCTTGTAAAATATAAAATAGTATTTGTATTTTACAATTTATTCACATATATTCAATTATTAAAAATGAAAAAAAATATTTAATTATTCACATAAATATCAGAGAACCAGACGATCATTTCTTGGTGGTCAGAACTTAGAAGTCGCCGCAGAACAGAGACGAACCGTAAACTTCCATGTTTTGTGAAAAACAAATTATGGTTATCTCTGCATGACTTTCGGGCTATCTTCACATTAAACCATAAGCTCAATAACACAAACAAAATAAACTCAAACTATCAAGCACACATATGACTTAATGAAACACAAAGTTTAAGAAGATAGGACACATGACGTATTGTTGGAGCGTGAATTAGTGATATGGCGTAACGTGAGGGAAGAAACTCTTCTTTATAATAATAGATTTTTTAAAACAATTCATCTATTTATTAACTATTTATTTTAAAAAACGTAAACTTATTAATTATTAAAAAAAAATTAAAGAAATTATTACTTTGCTTTTTAATGTTTCTAAATTTAACTATTCTAATAGTTAAGAATAAGAATTTTTAAAAATTGCTCGATAAGTTTAGTGCAGTTACACGTAATAACTAATAAGTAGTGTGAAGTTTAGATTACATAAAAAAATTAACAGTGAGCATTACTATCTAAAAATTGAACATCTTTTTTTGAGTCTTCAATATATTATTTTGATGTTTAAAATTAAAATAATTATGTAATCTAAGTGACCCATGATTAGAGGTTTGAAAATAAATGGTACTTGGAAATTAGCATAGTAAAATTCTTACACTTTATTCTATATATACCATTTTTATTATATATTCTGGTTTCATTTAAAATCAATTATTTATATTTAACATGCTAAAATGTTCTATAACAATTTTGGATTATATAATATTTATTTAATCAGATTTATCATTTTAAATAAGAAGTTTGTAAACTTAAAATGCTAGAAACTAAATATATTAGTATAAGTAAATTTATTTACTATATCATTTTAATATTTTTAAATATATGATCTACTGTAAAATAAAAAAGAGTATTTGTATTTTAGTATTTATTCACATATATTCAATTATTAAAAAAATGAAAAACATTGATTATTCACATAATAAAAGTGATAGAGAACAAAACGATCATTTTTTGGTGGTCAGAACTCAAAAGTCGTCGTAGAATATAGAGACGAATCGTAAACTTCTATGTTTAGTGAAAACAAAATTATGGCTATTTTTGCATGGCTATCGGACTATCTCCACATTAAACCATAAGCCCAATAATACAAAAAAATAAACTCAAACACACGAAATATATGATTTAATGAAACACATAATTTAGGAAGATGTGACATATGGCGTATTGTTGGAGCGTGAATTAATGAGATGACGTAACGTGAAGAAATAAAATTTTCTTTATAATAATAGATCTGAAATTATAATTGAAATAATTTTTTTGTATTATCACAATTTCTTTTGTGGAAGTAAAAAATGTAATTTATTTTTAATTTAATTTCTAGCTTTATCAAATAAGTTATTAAATTTTATGTATGCAAAGTCCTTGTTTGCCAGATATGTAGTGCGCCACTCCCATGTCACCTAAAAGAAAACATTATTTGTCTCGCTCTCTCTTGTTAACTCTACCCTTCCTAGTTCTTAATAATAACTATAAATATATCAAAGAATCATATCAAATGTCATCTCTCTCTTTGGTAATCCTCTAATAAATAAAAAAAGAAAAACCATTTGTTATACCAATGGCGTACATAGGCTTAATTGATATCTTCATAGTTTTCCTTGTTTTCATCCTTTTGCATTTCTTGCTTCACAAGAAAACCCATAAAATATTTCCTAGAAACTGGCCCGTTCTTGGGATGCTTCCTGGTGTTCTCCTCATGCTTCACAAGATTAATGGCTATCTTGTAGAAGTTCTCGAAGCCTCCAACTTAACCTTTGTATTCAAAGGCCCATGGTTCTCTGGAATGAACATGTTGATCACCGCAGATCCTGCAAACGTTCAACACGTCTTCAGTTCCAACTTCTCTAATTACGACAAAGGATCAGAGTTCAAAGAGATGTTTGATTTTCTAGGAGAAGGAATCTTCACAGCTGACTCCAAACTCTGGGAGGAAATGAGGAGATCATCAATGGTCATGCTTAGCCATCCACGGTTTCAAAGCTTCTCATTAAAGACCATTGCTAGTAAAATCAAGAAAGGGCTTGTGCCAGTTCTTGATCATTTTGCAAAGGAGAAAATGGTTTTTGATCTACAAGACGTGTTCCAGAGGTTAGCATTCGATGTAACCCTTACTCTAGTAACGGGTTACGATTCCAACTCTCTTTCCATTGAAATGCCGAAGAATGAGTATGCAAAAGCTATGGATGATGCTGAAGAAGTGGTTGTGGTTAGACATGTTAAGCCTATGTTCTTGTGGAAGCTTCAAAACTGGTTTGGACTTGGAGAAGAGAAGAAGATGACACAAGCTAATGCTTCTTTTGATAGATCTTGTGCAAAATATATATCTGCAAAGAGAGAGGAGGTTATAAGCCAAAAGATTCATCAACACTCCATTATTGGAGAAAATGAGGATTTATTAAAATTCTATATGAATCTTGATACCTCCAAGTATGAGCTCTTAAACCCTAAAGACGATAACTTCCTCAAAGACATCATCAAGAGTTTCATGCTTGCTGGAAGAGACGCCATTGCAACAACTCTCACTTGGTTCGTCTGGCTTCTCTCCAAGAACCCTGAAGCTCTGATCAAGATCCGCCAAGAGATCAACACATATCTTCCAAGATCCTCCGAGAACAGTATAGACCAAGAAAAGGTAAGTAAGATGGTGTATCTACATGGTGCATTGTGTGAAGCACTAAGGCTCTACGCTCCTATACCGTTCGAGAGAAAGTCTCCTATAAAGGAAGATGTGCTTCCAAGTGGACACAAGGTGGATGCAAAGTGGAAGATCTTGTTCTCGGTCTATGCCCTAGGGAGAATGAAAGCCGTGTGGGGAGAGGATGCGTGTGAGTTTAGACCAGAGAGATGGATCTCTGAGAGAAATGGAGGCTTAAAACATGAACCTTCTTTCAAGTTCTTTGTGTTTAACTCTGGTCCAAGAAATTGCTTGGGGAAAAAATTGTCTTTCTTGCAGATGAAGATAGTAGCTGCTGAGATCATAAAAAACTATGACATCAAGGTCCTTGAAGGGCATAAGATTGAGCCAGCTTCTTCTATAGTCCTCCACATGAAACATGGTCTCAAAGTCACAGTTGTTAAGAGATGCTTGGTTTCATAAAATCAAGTGACAATATGTGACCTGCTTGAAATCAATCATCCCCTATATAGGCTATAGATTATATATTATTTGAGAAGTAGTTTCTCAAAGTATATGTATTGATGTATGAAATCTCTCATTTCTCCCACAATATATATCCACATATTATATTGTAAACCGTATAGAAACATATAATTTTTATTTATGCAGTGTATTATTCTATATTATATACGAAAGTATGTATTAATTAATTTATATCAAGTCTCATTTGTGTAAGAGTGAAGAGAAGTTAAACTTGTTTGATGTACACTCAAATTGAGTAAGATCATTCTTCACATGTCATGGGGAAGGATGAATATGGAGACTGGAGACAGTTTCTCAAAATTAAAGACCCATCGCCCATCATGTAAATATATTTTGAAACCCATCGATCCAACCGTATGGCTTGTTGAAGCTACACCGTCCTCATAGCATTGTTACCCATAGGGGCCTCGGGCCATAAATATGTTCGTACGTAATAAGTCTCATTAATCCTTGTAAATATAGATTCATCACCTCATGCAATCTTTGCTCAAAAACCGAAAACAATTTTAGAAATCTAAGAACTCGTTAGATAATCAATAGGGGATGTAGCTCATATGGTAGAGCGCTCGCTTTGCATGCGAGAGGCACAGGGTTCGATTCCCTGCATCTCCATTTTACTATAACATTTTTCCAAAAAATGGAAAATATCCATCCTGTGTCAGCAAAATATTACTGTTGAATGAAATTTCTCTTCACAATTTGGTAGATGATAATATTTTAATTATGAAGCGTTTTTTACAGTGATTTTAACAGTGTTGCTAAATGAGATTTAAATCAGAGGATAAAAATGTACAAGCCGACATGAGTCATCTTGTGGCAAACCATGCCTTCCTTGCCCCATCATATGAGTGATGACTGATCTCACATAGCTCATATAGAAGCTTGTTTATACACTTTTGAATCAGTCTTGCTGATGGGGAGAGTGAGTTTCGCCATGCCTATTGCTTCCTACCATTTAGTTTATGCTAGAATCAGTATATAGTTGCCTGAAAAACATATATTTGTCCCGGGATTGATCGCTGAGAAGAAGACGCAATATAATTCACACCATATCTTAGCCCCTTGTACACTTCCTACTAGTATTGGCATTTGGCACCAAAAATATAGGTGGTTACACGATACCATAGGCGCATTGTTTAGAGGTAGAAGCTGTATATCTACTGTTCCAATGCAAAGTCCTATGTGAGTTTATGTCTCTTGGGCCTTCTAGTGGGCTTCGGGTTTTTGGACCTGCAAAGAAGAAAATAAGACGGGCTTAGTTTTGTGCATAAGGAGTCCAAGTGCTTCAGGGAAAAGATCAACGTTAGATGCATATGACGGTGGTTTATAAATCCTGTTCCAAGTAGAAACTACATTATATCGTGTAGTATAAATAGGGTTCTGATATCTTATTTGTAAGACACAGAAACATAATAATCTCTCATAAGAACACGCAACTAGTGCGAAGCTTGTAACGTTTTCGATTCATAAGTGATATTGAGTTTGTCTCCGGTTTGGAGAAAGACTCGCCAAACATATTTCCGTGTTGTTTGATTCGAGTTGTTACAAGAACAAGTCTAGGTCGATTCTCTACANGGGTTCTGATATCTTATTTGTAAGACACAGAAACATAATAATCTCTCATAAGAACACGCAACTAGTGCGAAGCTTGTAACGTTTTCGATTCATAAGTGATATTGAGTTTGTCTCCGGTTTGGAGAAAGACTCGCCAAACATATTTCCGTGTTGTTTGATTCGAGTTGTTACAAGAACAAGTCTAGGTCGATTCTCTACAAGTGGTATCAGAGCCAAGGCTAAACTAGATCCAAGTACAGAGATTCGAAGGCAAGGTTCAACAAAACAAGCAAGGAGAATACTTATCTGGTGTGGTGAGGAAGACTCGGCTTGTTTGGCATTAAAGCTTGACGGATAGGCGTGTTACAACCTGCAAACAAAGAAACAAATAGTTTACAGGTTAATAAAGAGATGGAAGCGATTTCAAAGAAATTTGAAGTAGAGAAATTCGATGGGAAGGGTGATTTTGGTCTATGGAAATACAAGATGCTATGTCAGCTTGAGATCTTTGGTTTAGGTTCTGTTCTTAAGGAGAAAACTCCTTCTACGGATGAAGAAGGTGAAGGACAGGAGGATGATAAACCTGATCCTAAGCAGCAAGACAAGGAACTGCGAACTAAGAATCTAATTAGTTTGTGTCTATCTGACCTTATTCTACGCAAGGTGATGAACGAGCCGACAGCGTTGGATATGTGGAAGGCTTTAGAAGCAGAGTATCAGACCAAGACATTACCAAATCGAATCTACATGAAGCAGAGATATGCAGGTTTCAGAATGGAAGAACACAAGACCATTGAGGAAAATTTGGATGTGTTTCTAAAACTGGTGGCAGATCTAGCAAGTCTTGATATTAAAATCAGTGAAGAAGATCAAGCAATACAGATCCTAACTAGTTTACCTAAGCAATATGAGTCTCTCGTTGATGCATTAAAATACGGCAGCGGGAAAGAGACTCTAACAGTCCGTGATGTTACAAGCTCAGCTTATTCTAAAGAAGTTGAACTAAGGGAGAAGGGACTTCTTAACAGGTCCAAAGGTAACTCGGAAGGGCTGTACGTTGGCAACAACAGAGGCAGAGGTGAGAAGAAGAACGACAAGACTTGGAGAGCTAGATCAAAGAGCAAAACCAGATCAAAATCAAGACCTAAATTCTCGAAAGAGTGTTGGACGTGTGGCAAGGAGGGACACTTTAAAAAGGAGTGTCCAGAAAAGAAAAATCAGAAGCCAACAAATTCGGTCAACATAGCTGAAGAGAAGGATCAACCGTTGGTATTAGTAGCTAGCCAGCAAGCTACTAAAGATGAATGGGTACTTGATTCTGGATGCACGTTCCATATCACTCCAAATAAAGATGTCTTATTTGATCTTGAAGACATAGAAGGAGGAAAGGTTTTGATGGGAAATAACACTATCAGCGAGATTAAAGGGATCGGAAAAATCAGGATTATGAATGATGATGGATCAAGTGTAATTCTCACTGATGTTCGTTACATGCCAACAATGGGCAGAAACCTTATTTCTTACGGTTCATTGGAGAAGATGGGATGCAGATACGAAGGCAAAGACTTCAGGGTACAGTTTTTCAAAGAAGATAAGAAGGTGATTTCTGGAAAATACTGTGATGGCTTGTATTACTTACAAGGGACAGTGTTGAATGGAGAAGCTGTGGTTGCAAGGCCTGATGTCGATTTGACTAAGAGGTGGCATTCTAGACTTGGACATATGAGTCTAAAAGGCTTGAATATTCTAGTCAAAGGAGGGTATCTAAACGAGAAAGAAGTAAAGACGTTGGAATTTTGTGAGAATTGCGTTTTAGGTAAAGCACACAAGTTAAGCTTTCCTAAAGGCAAACATACGTCTAAAGAAGTCTTAGAATACATACATTCAGACTTATGGGGATCACCTTCGGTTGTTGAGAGTCTCGGGGGCTGCTACTATTTTGTTACATTCATCGATGACTTTTCTAGGAAAGTTTGGATCTATTTCCTAAGGTCAAAAGATGAAGTGTTCCAGAATTTCAAGGAATGGAAGGCAAGCGTTGAAACTGAGACAGGGAAGAAGGTGAAATGTCTTAGGACAGATAATGGATTAGAATTCTGCAATACACAGATGGATACATTGTGTAAGGAAGCTGGAATTAAAAGACACAGAACATGCGTCTACACTCCGCAACAAAACGGAGTATCAGAACGCATGAACCGTACGATTATGGAGAAGGTGAGATGTATGTTAACAGAGGCTGGATTAGAACAAAAGTTCTGGGCTGAAGCGGCTTCTACAGCAGTCTACTTAATCAACCGATCTCCTAGTACAGCTATTGATTTCGAACTACCGGAAGAGGTGTGGTCTGGAACCAAAACAGACTTAAATCATCTAAGGAGGTTTGGATGTACAGCTTATGTTCACGTGACACAAGCCAAAACAAGTCCAAGAGCAATGAAAGGAGTTTTCATGGGATATCCAAAGGGGACTAAAGGCTATCGGGTTTGGTTACCAGAAGAACTAAGATGCACAGTTAGCAGGAACGTGATCTTTAATGAAGAAGAGATGTTTAAAGACATCAAAGAAATCAGCGAAAAGAAGAAGAAATCTAAGAGAGTAACGTTCAATCCAGTACTGATTCAAGGACCTTCTAACACGGCTACAAATACTGAAACAGAGGATACGGTTCAAGGTGGAGTATCCCCAGCAACAACAAACTCGGAAACTGAATCCTCAAGTTCAGAAAGTGAAGAAGAAGCCGTGGAAACTCAACCAGAAAATCTAGATAATTACATTCTTGCAAGAGACAGAATCAGAAGAAATATAAAGAAGCCTTCAAGATTTGATGATTCTGACTGCGTGGCTTATGCCTTAGCTACAGCAGAAGAAATAAATATGGACGAGCCTAAATCATATTCAGAAGCAAGAAGAAGTAAAAGCTGGAAGTTATGGCACAAGGGAATGCAAGAAGAGATGGTTTCTTTGGATAAAAATCAGACTTGGAAGCTGGTTGAAAAACCAGAGAATAAGAAGATTATAGGGAGCAAATGGGTTTTCAAGTTAAAGGAAGGCATTCCTGGAGTTGAGAAGCCAAGGTACAAAGCTAGGCTGGTAGCTAAAGGGTTCTCACAAGTTGAAGGAATTGATTACACAGAGGTGTTTGCACCAGTGGTGAAACACGTGTCAATCAGAATTATGTTATCACTCGTTGCCAACTATGATCTCGAGTTAGAGCAACTAGACGTGAAAACAGCCTTCTTATACGGAACTTTGGACGAGGAAATATATATGGCACAGCCGGAAGGTTTCGTTGAGAAAGGAAAAGAAGATCAAGTTTGTCTCCTGTTAAAATCACTCTACGGATTAAAACAGTCACCAAGACAATGGAATAGAAGATTTGATGGCTTTATGAAACAACAAGGTTTCGACCGAAGTGCATACGATCCTTGTGTCTACATTAAAGGGTCAGATTTGTCTCATATAGTCTATCTTTTGATCTATGTCGATGATATGTTAATAGCATCGAAAGACTCTAAGGAAATTCAGAGGATCAAAGATAGCCTGAAAAAAGAATTCGAGATGAAGGACCTAGGAGCAGCTTCAAGAATACTTGGGATGGATATTATTAGAGATAGGAAGAAGGGAACTCTAAGGTTATCACAAGGAAAATATTTACAGAAGGTGCTGGAAACATTTAACATGGCTGAGAGCAAAGCGGTGGTTACTCCTATTGGACCACAGTTTAAACTTAAAAGCCTGACACAAGAAGAAGAAGTCGAAGAAGCTAGACACATGAGTGAAATACCATATGCGTCAGCTGTTGGAAGCCTAATGTATGCAATGGTGGGATCTAGACCGGATCTATGCTTCGCAGTGGGCCTAATAAGCCGTTACATGGGTAAACCCGGAAGACAACATTGGGAAGCGGTTAAATGGGTGATGAGATACCTAAAGGGAGCTCTAGACGCAGACTTAACGTTTACTAAAGGAGACGAGTTTAAGGTACAAGGGTTCTGCGATGCAGACTATGCAACCGATTTGGATAGAAGAAGATCGGTTACGGGGTATGTTTTTCAAGTCGGAGGCAACACAATAAGCTGGAGATCAGGTCTCCAACATATCGTTGCTCTATCAACGACTGAATCCGAATACATGGCATTAGCCGAAGCTTTTAAAGAAGCACTATGGCTAAAAGGTTTTATCACAGAGATGGGGTTTGAACAAGAAGGTGTAAAGGTATTTTCAGATTCACAGAGTGCTATACACTTAGCCAAAAATGGAGGTTTCCATGAAAGGACTAAGCATATAGACACAAGACTACATTTTATGAGGGACGTAATTGAAGCTGGTGACGTCACGGTTCATAAAATTCATACATCTATCAACCCTGCGGATTTCCTAACTAAGTGTGTACCTGGACAGAAGTTCGAGACATGCTTGGAGATCCTCAAAGTCCTGCGATAGTAGGACTCCAGTGGCTGCAGGTGACACAGCTGTCGAAGTGTTCACCTCGCGGAAAGGCCACAAAATTGTATCAGTTTCAGGAAAAGTAAACTGATGATTCGACAGGGGAGATACAAAAGCTTGAGATGAGTTCAGGGAATTACCTTTGAAGAACGTAGACAGGAGCTGTCTATACAAGGAACCTGCAAAATTATTCAATACTAGTCAAAGAATTTTTTGTGCAAGGGAACTAGCTTCAACAGAAGCTAAAAGTTAATAAAAAGGAAGGAAGGGAAGAATCAGATGATGTACCTGAAGTGGTACGTGTTGTTGTTGCAAGGAATCGTCAACAGCAAATCTGTGAACATAAGGCTATCAGTTCACAGGTTCTCAAAGAATTAAAGAAGCAAATTTGATCACCTAATGGGAGTGAAGTGGTGAAGAGACGTCAACACCATAAGCTGAGGAGATTAAACAAATAAATAAGTTTAATTATTCAGCAAGGAATCTTTCATTACAGGTTTTCTAAGAGAGCATGAAAGACACGTATGTTTGCAGGGACAAGAAACAAAAGTCAAAAAAAAAAAAAAAAAAAAAGGGGTAATACCTTTTGTGACTTTGACAAATC